AGTTAATGCAAATAATAAAATGAAATGTAAGAAATCACAAAATCACATATGCACGAAAAGAAATCACACCAAAATAATACATTGTAAATAAATGATTTTGATTAAATTATAGGTTAAGCAAAGTGGTTGGGTTATGCACAGAAACCTAGCAGGGAAAGAAACCAAGAGGATTAAAAAATTACTAAGTGGCACGGACAGACAAATGAAAACACCGAGAGGACAAAATATAAAGTTCACAGCACACTAAAACACAGTCACATTCTCAGGCAAAGTAGGAGTGTTCTCAAGTCAGAATAATGAAATACTTAATAAATAAAAACCCTGGGTAGTTCAAACCAACAATCAAGCTCATTCCTACATAATCATCTTATCCCTTTCAGATTTAAAAGGTACTTAAAAATTAAAATATATTCAAAAAGTATGTTTTCCCAGTAACATGGTTTACATAAGCATTCCCAAAGATTAAAATCATCTGACCACACTGTTAATCATCCTCCAAATGAACTTAAATTTAAATAATTCCAATTATTCATAAATCATTCTGAAGAAAGACATAAACCTATCCAGAAATAAGAGTGAAATTATAATTAGCGAAGTACAAAGTTAAATGTGAAATAGTGTGTGTTTAGTCTAACACTGCTCTCACATGTTGAAGTCAATACACATTCAATTAAATTGGAAAGAAAAAAATTATTGGTACAGACTTAAGATATGTAGTGTCAATAAACTCAAGAAAAGACTTACATTTTTCTGGCAAAAGGAAAAAAGTTTCAGAAATTAATTAAACCACCTAAATTCATGATCAAGATACAGTACTTTCTTTTTTAGGATGAGGGGTTAAAGTCACCTAAAATGTAACCAAAGTTAAAAAAAAAAAATTGGGGGTGGCGCCTGTGGCTCAAAGGAGTAGGGTGCAGGCCCCATATGCCAGAGATGGAGGGTTCAAACCCAGTCCTGGCCAAAAAAAAAAAAAAAACTTTAAAAAAAAAAAAATTGTAGTGATATTATTTAGAAAGGTACTTAAAGGCAGGTATCATATCTTATCTTCAAATTTTATCTCAGCTTACAGCAAGGAGGTTTTTATACAAAGCAGGTACTTAAGTATTCTGAATGAATAAATCAAGAAGAGGGTTGGGGAGAGTGGGGTCGCAGGACAATGTAGCCTTCCTCACTCATGTATTACATCCAGTAGAAATTTTGATTTCACTAACCAAAGTTTTTACAAGCACACTAAAGCAATGAATTTGAAACTAACATATATGTATCAATTTTTGTCTATTAATTCTTTTCAGATATTGAATTAAACCTTTTACTTAAAAATGATACATTTTTTAGAACTGCTGTTTCACAGTTCAAAATCAAACACTAGCATGGCAGCTCTGATTTCTAAAAACAAAGACTTAATACGTAGTATTAAGTTGGAACCTTCTCTACTGAAGTACAGTGGAAAATTCTTAAATGACTTTCACTTAGCTAATCAATCTTTTTTCTGCTTAAGATTCTAAGGATCTTAAGGATTCCCTCCTTCTCCTGGTTTCATTTACGTTATCCATCCAGGCCCTCAAGTCCTTACCCATCTTTCTTACTTACCTTTCATAAACTAGAATCAACTTCAAAATGGAACCCCTCAAATTCCACTGTACTAGTATTTCACTGACTAAAATACTAACTAGTATAAGGAAGAAGGTCTTTGAAAGACACACCAGTTCCCCTCCTCATCTTTTTCATTCTTTTTCTTCTTGATTACCAGGTATCAGTGATGTGTGCTGACACTGCCAATAAGTTACCTTTAGTTTATAAATAGATGGGACAAAATGTACTGATTTCTCTCTGAGGAACACTACGTAGAATAATTTATGATGAGCAAAGTCATCCATTTAATGCACAGCCAACCTATTTCATTTGGAAGCTAACTAAAGTGACCTAGGAAATTGTTACCAGAGATGCAGATAACATATCAGGAACTTCTAGGCTAGATATTTTCAGGTGTTTTGTTATCACCAATCACTGGGAGCAAACGTGAGTTTACCAGTAAGATACCAAATAGTGTCACTTCTTATTTAAATAAAATGACTACATTGGCAGATCAGAGGAATGTGGTGAAAATTACATACTGATTTTAGAAAAATCCTTTATGAAGTTTCTTACACGACATAAAGATAAAATATGGGCTGGATAATAATACATTTCTAATTGACTGAAAAATCTTTCCCCAAGAATTCTGAAACTGACACTGGGAGAGTTCTCCAGTGGAATACTACGGGCCTTCACTCACTTTAGCACTTTTTCTCTCCAACTTCTGGGTACTCAACATTATTTTTTATCAGTAATTTGAAAGATAAGACATATCTACCAAATTTGCAAATAACACAATGCTGAGAGAGATATATAATGGGACAAATGACAGAAACAATGTTTGAAATGACTGAGCTGGAACAAATGGATCAAAAAGAATATGACATATAATAGAGATATATATGTATCTGCAGTTAGATTCTAAGCATTAATTAAAAATGTCAAATACAAAATAGAAAGAGGGGGGACATCTGCCTTATTAAGCACTTTTTTTTTTGAGATAGAACCTCAAGCCCTGGGTAGAGTGCCATGGCGTCACAGCTCACAGCAACCTCCAATTCCTGGGTTTAAGCGATTCTCTTGCCTCAGCTTTCTGAGTAACTGGGACTCCAGGTGCCCGCCACAATACCTGGCTACTTTTTGGTTATAGCTGTCATTGTTTGGCAGGCCCGGGCCGGATTCGAACCCGCCTGCTCCGGTGTCCGAGGCTGGTGCCTTAGCCGCTTAAGCTATAGGCGCTGAGCCTTGAGACAGAGTTTTACTTTGTCACCCTCAGTAGAGTGCCATGGAGTCATAGCTCAGAGCAACCTCAACTCTTGGGCTCAAGAGATTCTCTTTGCTTCAGCCTCCCAAGAAGACGGGACTACAGGTGCCCGCCACATGCCCAGCTATTTTTAGAGATGGGTCTTGCTCTTGCTCAGCATAGTCTCGAACCGGTGAGCTTAGGCAATCTACCCACCTTCACCTCCCAGAGTGCTAGATTACAGGCGTGAGCCACCATGCCCGGCCTCCCTAATAGCACCTTATATGAAAAAAATATGATTTCAGTTAGCCCACAGATAATATACATTAACAGTGGGATGGGGCTGCTGAAAAGTTAATTCATGCACTAGTCAGATGCTGCTCTAGCTGTGGAACATGACTGCCCCCTGTTCTGGACTAGTCAGATCCCCTCTGGTGCACTGCTATCCATTCTCAGCGGTACCTTTTAAGAGGTACTCTGAAACCTAAGGGACTTTCAGGTGAGGACAACCAAGAAAGATGAAGTCATTTAAGAAAAGGCTAAAAGAAATTGGGGATGTTCTACCTGAAGAAGAGAAAATTAGGGGAGACATGATGGCCGTCTTCAAAAGTCTGAAGGATTGCTATGTTGAAGAGGGAGTAGAATAGTCGTATGTTGTTCTAAAGGGCAGAACTAAAACTAAAGAAGAGAAAGTAACAGGGAAAACATTTTAGTTTAGAAAAATAAAAACGAAAGCAAAAACCCTCTTCAGGGAGGAAAGCCATGAGCAGATAAACAGAACTCTCTCAGGAAGGCTTGCAAGAAGGCATTCTAACAGGAGGTTAGGCCAGATGAATTCTAGACTCTTTTCCACTAATATTCCCAATACTGGAGCTCCCGAATGTTGTTTGGTTTGAACTAGCCTTACATTTTCTCAGTCAGTCATCATGAGAGAATCTGTCTGGGTTACCACTTTACAAAATGCCACTCAAAGAACACAGGGAGAACTGTAGCACCAAATGAATGTGGTGATTCCTTCAAAGCAGTCACCTGAGATGGTTGCATTCTTATTCCAGAGCTGCCAGTACTCAAAACACCACTGAAACTCTTAGGATGCCTTCAAAATCTGTGTGTGACTCACATAAGAACTAGACTCATTGTTTCATAGATACAGCTACCATACTGCTGGTAGAAGATACAAACTATCCTCATTTGATACGTGGAGTCTAGCCCTCAGTGAGTGTCCAATGGTGAACCACAGATAACTGACCCATTTCTAACCAAAATCTATTATTTAGCTTGATATTCATTTTAATCAAGCCCAACTCCCAGTAACTTTTAAATGACTTCAAAAACCCAATTCATCCTTAGATACATGCAAATTTGATATCAGATACAAATTAAGATTATATAGGCTCTTAAATGCTCAAAAATGTAAAACTGATTTAACAAAAGTAGCATGAACAGAATAAGAATATAACCTTCTAAGTTCATTGTTTTGAGGGAATGTATACATCCTTTATTTTCTCTTTCTTTTTAAGAAGCATATGACTTTATAGGAATGTTTTTGGCTCAATGATAAAGGCCTCAAAAGCCAATAGTACAGATCTTTTTTCTTTTCTATTTCCTGTGAGTCCTTAAAGTTATTATCCTCATTTCTAGAAAACATGTTCTTTCATATAAACATTTTAGGTACTTAAAAGTAAAAGTAGATTAGGATTGTAAATGGTTTCAAAAATAGAAAATTTTTTTCAAACTCAAAATACTGTTCACATGACTATGGTTTTAATAAGATACATTATTTGAAGATAAGCTGAGTATAGTATAACAGAGTATCTTTTATTTGGAATCAATGTGTCTTTTTCTTACTATAAAAGTCTTAATCTATTTTTACCAGTCAGGGTCAAAAGATTTTTATCTCCTTATATTATCTTCTAATAATAAAGATGCTTTATCTTCCTTAAGAAAAAAAATCCAAAATCTTCTTGTATAGTCCTGTAAATATACCTATTAATTAAAAAACATTCTTAAGGATGCTTCCAAAACTAAACATTGTCATCACAGTGAGAATTTTAGTGGAAATTAGTTGGGCATCAGTCGGCTTGTTGTCTTTGTGGTGAGTATCTGTATAATAAATAGTTATCCGTTTTTTTCTTTTGTATTTTAACAGAATGCCTGGTACCCAGTAAATAAAGTTAAGAACCTGTTAAGAACTGCAGTGAAGATTTTGTTCTTTACAGATTGCAGCAAGTCTGAGTTGAGGAAGTTCTGACAGATGCAAAATGTGCACCTGTTGCAGGTGCACATACAGCGTAACCGGGCATGGCTGCGAAAACACACAGAAGGACAGGAGTTGAGTTCTTACTTATAAATACGGCACAAGTCGGGGTGTGCCAACTTAAAAAAAAATACTTAGGCATAAGCAACACTCTTTGTAGAAAGGAAAAGGACAGTGTGGGGCATGCTAAAGTTGTGCAGAATTCCACATTTACTAAAAACATAATGAACAGTATAATAGCTTCCTCCTTCCTCCCTATAGAAAAATCTAGAAAATTAGCTAACACTTTTGCTTTGTTTGGAGGGGGATGGAATTCTTATTCCATGAGTTTTAGTGGAATATGCACAGCAATAGATGGCACCCTTGGCTAAATTAATAAAAAATTGAGTAAGCCATAGCACCCGCCAAAAGGACAAAGCTTGCTAGCATTTAAATAACCACTCCCTCCTCCTCCTCTGCCTCGTCCTCCTCCTCCCTCAGCATACACACATGCCTGAAAACCAGGAAGGAGAAGAATGACAATACACAAAAAGTCAAAAGACGAGTATATTCAACCCTGAGAAGATGTGAACATCGTCTTTAATTCATCAAGCACCCTGGCTCCCAAAGGAAATCAAGATGCTTCATAAATTTCTACTCGAACAAAATACAGGGTTAATTTCATCTGCTACTAAAACACAGCAGCTAAGTATGATTGTATGAAACTCTGGGTACAGACATAAAAATCAACAATGGATCCAACTGAAATTAGATATAAAATTTGGGACGGCTTTCTGACTCCTTTCTGGTTGAGTGGAGTTGCACTAGATGGTGCAGGCACCTGGGACAACTCATTTCACTTCAGCTATAACTACCAAGTAGGGCGCCTCCAGTGACTGACTGTTCAGTGGTCAGAGCCACTCATCATACAAAGCCACCGCACCACCCATGAAGAGATACTGGCGCAGAACCCACTCAGAAGAGCGTCACCTCCTTTAACACTTCAACATTTTTATAGGCTTCTCAGTCAAAAGACCGGCCCAATCTGACTTGTGAGATCTGATGAGACCACAGCACATGGTGGCATGGTTGTAGGTATTAGCAGCATCCCAATAATGCCTAATTCCCAACATGAAGAAAAACAAGAATTAATATTTTTAAAAACTTTTATAGGCTCAAGACATTCTTTTTTAAAATTTGACTTGTGATGATGAACATACCACTGCTACTAAAGTCACTGCCAGCTGTCATACTGGGATCCATCTGTTATTTTATAAATTGAATCTGACTCTTCAACATACACCAGGCTCCACCCACCAAAAAGGAGAGATGCAAAGTATGCTTAGCAACAGGGAGATGTTTCATGAGAAGTAGTTTTGGATTAACCATATAAACAAGTGTCCATGTATGTACATTTATCATATACACACACACACACACACGAATTATAGTAAAATGTTCTTAAAGATGCAGAGCTAAAACACAGTCGGAGTTATTTAGAAGATTTTAAAAGTACACTTATATAGCAAAGAAGACACTGTAATATCCAGTTAGGCAGTAAGCCTGACCAAGCAGTGCGTTTCTAGATAATTATTAAATGTTAATTATGACAAGAAAGGAGATTTGGTCATCCTACGAGAAAATGTCAACAAAATCCCATAAAAGTCATAAAGAAAAAGTAACTTACAAAGCAGTTTTTAGAAAGACCCAGATTTTTCTCAAATTCTCTATTCTATCAGTGTTGCCCATGTCTCGGGAGAGTCTGTTTCTGTAATGATCCTCTCTGTAGATAACATACACGAGAGTTTTAAAGCAAAGGTAAAACATAAATAAGGTTTTGCTTATCTTATAGTAATAGGAGTGACTTGTCTTCCAATTACAAATAGAAATTCAAGAATTTGTTGCATATTCTACGAGTATCAATTAATAGAATAGTAGTAAAGTTAACTTTGATTTTAAAAATCTATACAAATTAATACCTTTTTGAAAAACTTCAGTCTTGGTTTATAGCAGTGTTTATTACTCTATTTTATACTGTGCTTTTCATAAGAAGAAAAATAATTTAGAAACTAACATAAGAATAAATAGAATAAGCCATAAGTCTTGAGAAACGCACTGCCTGAAAAACTATTTTGTTAACAAAACAGAATTTATACAAACACACTACTTGAGAAGAATGCCACTAAGAATCATGCAATTTTAAGGCAGTTAGTAAACTATAAAGAAGACCACAGTTATGTGCTTGTGCATATGCATGTATAGATATATAATAAATGTACATGAAATTTGTGGCTCGTAACACTTAATGGGAAACATTTACACGGTGAAAATTCCCATTACAACTACTTTTTATAGCACTTAAAAAAGATGTTCTGAACTTAAATTTGTGGCTCGTAACACTTAATGGGAAACATTTACACGGTGAAAATTCCCATTACAACTACTTTTTATAGCACTTAAAAAAGACGTTCTGAACTTAAACATACCCATAATTTCAACATAAACGCATAAAAGATTTTAGATACCGTCACATAGCCACGGTCAATTAATCAACAGAAAAATATAAACTTTTTGTTCACATTGAGATGCCTTATTAAGTATAAAGCAATATGATGCCAAACTCATTTTACTGCAGTAAAACTATTTTTTTATGTTGGATAAGGGCTGTGTTTTATTATACTATCCTTGTCAAGATAGTTATAGCCTGCTCAAAAATATACAAATATTGTCAGAAGCGTTGTTTATATAATTTTATTATGTCAACCAAACTTGCATTTACTCAAATTTGTACCTTCTCATTCCAAAGTCTCTTTCTGTTGCTGAACAACTTCTATGTGACCAAGATTTACCCCTCATGGCTAACAATGGCATGCAATGTTATTATGAACCATGCAACATGAAAATAAGGACAGAGCAAGTACTTACGGGTACATGGCCATTGTTGTCAACTTAACAAAGATATCCTTACTGGGTGCATCAGCAGTATTGCAAGTGAAGGCTTGTGGTGGAGGCATTTTATGTTTCCTGCAGAAATCAGTAGGTGAAATACTATATTCTTGCTTAACTTCATGCAGGTCTGACTTTGCAGCTACGATTAAGCAGGGTATTCTGCTGTCCATAAAGTGTTGCTATGGAATTAAGAAATGAAATCAAACTATGATGACAAATTCAAAGATTAATTAAAGTGAAAAAAGTTTTTTCTCTGGATAGGCAAAGCAACAATAGTTTCAAAGAGAGAATATGAACCAAAGGCAAAAAATTGCAGTAGTCTAGGTCAGTCTCATATACTAAGTGAGATCAGAAAGACTTTTTTTTTTTTCAGACAGAGTCTCATTATGTCACCCTCAGTAGAGTGCCATGAAGTCACAGCTCACAGCAACCTCAAACTCTTTTTTGGGTTTAAGCGATTCTCTTGCCTCAGCCTCCCAAGTAGCTAGGACTACAGGCACTGGCCACAGTGCTCAGCTATTCTTTTGCTGTGGTTGTCATTGATGTTTAGCTGGCCTGGGTTGGGTTCGAATCTGGCACCCTGGATGCATGTGGTCGGCGCCCTAACCACTGTGCTACAGGTGCTGCCCCAGGAAGACTTTTCTAACGCTGATAATAATTTTTAACATATACTTTTAATTAAAAAATACATCAGGCTCAGTGCCTATAGCTCAACTGGCTAAGGCGCCAGCCAC